AAGAACCGATTCGTGCACGCGATAGCGGTGCGTTTTCGGACGGCACGACCGCGCGGCAAGCTCGAAACGCTGACGAGAAATCGTAACGACACAGCAGTAAGCATCGCTCATGGAGCGTGGGCACACGCTCTGCGATCGACGCACGTTCACAAGGACAGAATGAAACGGCGCCGCTCGCGGTTTGCGCGTCACGGCTGGCCAGTCGGAGTTTATCGACGCGCGGGCGCGCGCCGTTCGCGCGCGTTCAGCGAGGCTCAGAAATTCGCAGCGTCCACCTCTAAATTACAACGAGTGTTTTAACGCGTGAAGTAGGAGACGCTTCTTCGAGAAGGAAACGTGCGGTCGGGAAAGACAACGGTGGGGTGTCCTCCAGATTGTTGCCTTGAAGCCAATTCACTGCCTGGACGCACTAATCAGGAGCATGGCTCTCTCTTTCTGGCTGCCGGTGGCGTTACATGCAATGCTGGATGTTGGACTCTGCAACGACTGTCGCGCTATAAGGCTTTATTTAATTATTTAGCAATTGTTAGAAATGTATATTTAAATGTATTTGTCACTTCTCGTGTTGTAAGGCAGCGGTGTGTTCATATTTTCGAGAATATTGGTTGTATTGCACATCACGGTCAGAAGCCAGATATGGTACTGAATTGGGAACCATTACACTACTGACAAGGCATTTATATCCGTTCTCTTAATGATTAATTTCATTTTTTTTTAAATCTTCCCTTCAGCATTAGCGGTTACTGATATTTTCGGGACCTCCTCAAACACTAACCTAAAACCAATTTTTATAATAAACAGAGTACCTTTTTGGACGGTGTTTGCATCAACAACAAAAAAACCCCACCCCACTTTCATTGGTTTAGTGGGTGACTCATGGGTGCCCCAGCCGCCTGTAATCACAAACTGCCCAACAACCTCTTGCCTAATCAGCCCAGTAAACATCTGGGAGAAATGCAGACCTTCAACTCTAAAGCAACCCCACAGACCAACCGAGCTGATATCGGCGGAAGCATTCGCCAACATTAATGAATTGTTTATTCTTGATGCCAACTCCAGGCTGTGTCGACAGATTTCGATCCCGATTAAAGCGGGAACAATTATCCGTCAGTTCCTTTTGGTACATGGGACCACATCGCTCTCACATCTGGTAATTAACACTACTAAGGCTTGGCCTTTACCACAATATCTAAAGGAAAACAAACCTAACACGAACAAAGTATTTAAATTCGATAAATACTTCAGTTTTAAAGTGGTCACCATTGACTGGGCAGTTGTTGAGTTAACATTGCAGGGCAGAGGCACGACATGGCTACGTTAAGTGCCGCCCGTTGCCGAAGTTGGCGGGACAATGCGAGCGCCTTAACGCGGCGCGGATGTCCTTGGGAGAGATAGCGCCATGTACGTAACCCGCCAATGCTCGATACGGAAATAATAAGCGCCATCACGTTTCAGAGAGAAAAGCTGCGTATGGAGGTTATACCTTTTGTATTACTTCGTACATTCTTCCTCACGTGGGCCAGAAAGGCACTGTAACAAATGTTTGTAAATAAAAATAAACGGGGGGGGGGGGGTGTATTTGTCCTAAATATTGCCATATCGCAAATACAAAATAAAAGGCAACAATAAAATCGAATATGAAATGTCCTCTCTACTAATTAGCATTTACTTTCTTATTAAATAAAGAATTACACTTTTACTTATTTTAATATAAATGCGTGATATATAACAGTAATAAGCAATGAACTACGTTTTGTTACTTCTCTTTTAAAGGGGGAACCGAATTGATTTATCGAATTAGAATTTTCTTCATGGAAGCTCCTTTGCAAGTAACAAAATATGAGAATAGGTTATCCCCTTTTTTCTGGCAACAAAACAGGTGTCAAGATGTTACAACACCAAACTGAAACCTGTTACAAGGAATCATGTCTGCATTAATCACAATACTTGTCGTCAGAATGCAAACAAAAAAACATCCTCTGACAGTATATGCATTGCCCTTGAAACCGATTGGTCCACACCAGAGACAGCTTTCTCTTGAGCCTCGTCTCAAACGGTGTCAGACCAGATAGACGCTAAAAAAGTGTACAGCACAAAGACTTTTTTCTTAGAAAATTGCTGCAGCGGATCAAAAATTCCTACGGTCGTTTTTTACCTTTAGCGTATTTACTGGGCGCTACGGTTCCATCTCTCGCTCTCTTCGAGCGACCACTGCAGGGAGATCCACTCCGCGACGCAATAAAATGCGCGCATTTATAAAGCGTGCGGCAATGCCGTTTACTCGAAACCATGTGCACAGCATTACGTGAGTGCGGCGCCCAACTCGGCACATGGGGTAGGTATTGGTGCGCGTTGAGAAGAAAGCAGTGCCAGCAGCAGAGGACCGTACGCGGGTACGGGGTCTCGTCGACTCGCGAGCGGATTTTAGCGGAAATGCCGTCCGCACGGAATCGCTTCGTGTTGGCAGCGGCATCGATTTTCGCCGCCGTGGACAAATGACGAAACTGCTCGCGAATGCCCTTCCAAATGTGTTTCATTGGACATTGTGAAAGCAAATCTTCTGAAAATCGATACCCACTAATTCTTAACAGGAATTTAGATTTTTTTTTTATATATATAGAAATGGGTTACGATTTTAGTTTGAGAAATTTTTTGCAAAAGCGTCGCTGCATTTACAGTTCGCCGAGGATCGCTGCATTTTACGTAATCTGTAAGCAGAATTTCGATGATTTTTTTGGCGTCTTGTAGTGAGAGCATTACTTAATACATTTCTGCTAACTGCTAACTGAAAAAAAATCAGCGACACATCTCAGAACTACAATATGAAGGAAAACAACGCGTGGAACCATTTCACGGCTTTGTACGTGTGGTCACAAGTTTTTTTTTTTTTCCCAGCATTGCCACGTTTTGTGCATAATTAATACGAGCTCTATTAATGCGCAATCTGCTTATCCGCAATTAGAAAATAACGTTTTAAAGTAAAAATCGTTGATAAGAATGTTCAGATTTAGTTTCGCAACCACTGCCTCTGCTACTACCTTGTGAGGTTTTCGGGGGTATGTGCCGTCGCGGCCTCCGGGCAAGTTATCGGGTTTTGCTCCGCGAGCTGTTCGGCACGATGTCCGACGTTTCGCTCCACTCGCTCTGGTCGATTCTTGGAGGAGCAAAATATTCAAAACACAACCCGGGAGACATCGTTCGCATTTGTTTTTTTTCCTCCAACTTCGGGCATTGCGTTGTTTTTGGGCCGTGGGCGAGCGAGGAAATGAGCGGATAGGAGAGACAAGCGAGCGGGCGGACGAGCGAGCGAGCGAGCCGCGATCGTACACACGCATTTCTCCGCTGGCGCTAATGTGCAGTCGCGGCGCTGACCGGACGGACCATCGACCTGTCGGGACGCGCAGGTGAATGAGGAGTAATTGTCGCCGGACGTCCAGGGAAGTCGGAGCGGCGTGACGAACAGCGCTTAACGCGCCCCAACACAGCGATTTATCAACGTCCGTTAAACAAAATATACAAACAAACAATCCTACAATACATTTCCGCCTACTGAATTATCATGCAACTTTCACGGCGACAATATAGATAGTGTGTATATGTGTTGTGCGAAAACTGTATATAGATGTATACTGTGCGGAACAAGTTTTTCATGGATGTAATTTGATTCTTCATAAAATTTTGAAGTAAGATTTTTGCATAAAAAACGTGTAAGTGGATGGGTACAAAGTCTACAATTCGGAAATATGTTTCTATCAAAAGCATTTTCTTAAAATGATTCCAAACTCCTCTTACGTTTTGCTGTAAACTCAATCAGTTTTATCATTCACTGCCAAGATACAACGTTTGGCACACACATATATATGCACTTGTAAAATACAAAACAAAAGCGTATAATTGCAAAATGTCTACTTTTTAATGACAATTTACCTTTAAAAATTACAACCATTAAAAAAAAAACCTTACTTGTGCTGCTAAGAAAGCATCCAACTGCACAGAAAATATAACGATGTTGAAAAAATACTCGCGCACGCATACACACAAGACTTGAGCGAAAAGATTACAGACCATGGCGCAAAAATGTAAATTCACAAAGTTCGAGCGCTGCATAGACCGTACACATTAGCGCTTTTTTTCCCCGTAGGGTAGAGGACATCATTACGGAAGGCAGCGAATCTGTTCGCGAGACAGGCGGCTTGCAGTTGTAAGTCTTTTGTTGGTTTTGCCCAGGAGGACGGCAGGTAAAGACGTGGCCCCCAACTAACAGCTCCCGACAGAATCCCCTGGGCCACTCGCTCGGGCCGAAGGGGAGTCCCAGCGAGTGCGGGGCTAAGGGGGTCATCCCCGATCGACCTGATGACCGGGGCGAAAAAAACCCCCCTCTCTCTGTTTGTCTCCCACAATGAGGAAAAACAAGCGGCGCGGACTGCCCGCTCCGCTGCTCTGCAAGAGTTTTCTATCGCGTCGTCGACCTGCTTTCCCCCGTCGGGATGTTAGAAAATTGCATCAAAATGTAAAATATCGTAAAATTCGACAAAATGAGGTTCCCCCCCCCCCCCCCCCCTCCCACTGCGCACGGTAATACGAGCGGACACGTTTCATGCAAGTTGCCATCGTGCGTATTTGTTGTCGTCGTGATATGCGACATAACTCCGCAAATTGCTCAATAGTATTTTCCTAAACCTCTGACATCCAAAATAACGTTTCATTATTTGATATTTGTTTGACCGCGGTATTGCAGTGATATTGCAGCGTTAACATTCGCGCTGGAATCATGAGCCGTGAGTTTTAATTCACATTTAAAAATAATTCCAAAAGAAGGAGAATACAAAAAAGAAAACCCCAAGCCACGGCACATTTGGCGAAACACTCGCTGAAATATCCGCGGCGGCAAGTGCCCGTTGTCAATCGTCAAGGGAGGAAAAAACTAAACAAGAGATAAAAATGTTTGTGAAGTGGTCAAGATTTAAGAAGGCTATTTCCTCTGCTTGCTCCCCACTCACCTTCCATCCGGCTCCGAGGAGCAGCCCGCTGCCCGGATGAAGAAACAGGAAACCATTGGCCAGAGCACTGTTTTTCCTGCCAAGTTCCGCAAAGCCCAAAACGTTCATGGCTCCTCTGCCCGAGAGCCCAGGCTGGTCCTTCTCCTGCTCCATTTGTGGTTCAAGCGCCGGAGATAAACAACTTTTTGTCGTTCCCGCCGCTGACATTCGGGGGTGGGGGGGGCGCTCGATAGCAAAAAAGTGACGTTAAATTAAAGGAAGCATTGCGGAGGCAGCGGCGGACGTGGAGGCGACGGCGGCGACGATGGACTACGACTGGGGACTGCGCCTCCTGGGCGGACGGCGCGAGTGGAGCGGCGCGCGCGAGCACGCTTGTGCGTCGGGCCGAGCCTCACGCGCGCTCCACATGGACGTCTCCGGCGCGGCGGTGACACGCCCGCATCACGAGCCGTCCCGAGCCCAACGCTCCCCTATTGTCCCAAGCGCCCCTGCTATCCAAACAAGGACGCTACCGACGGTGGCGAGGTCAGGGCTTTTCTGCCGCGATGGAGTGTGCACATTTTTTTTTGTCTACACTTGGCGTTGCATGTAGAGGCAGGCCGAACCCCGAGGAAATTATGACGTCGCGCAACAAAGTGACAACCCTGATTGGCAATTTAAGCACCTGATTTGTTACCTATTTAAACGGCTCGGTCGTTAACGTCACGCGCAGCTTAAAGAAACGTTTCCGTTTAACAAAAAAATCAATTTCAAGTGCTATTTTGCATCGCTTGCAAATGAATTATGCAAATAATAGATGGGGCAGAGTTAGCGCAGTGGAGTGGGCGGAGGAGGAGGAAGAGGCGGGGGGGTGGGATCTAAAATCACGTTGTAATTTGCAAATAAAAACTCCGCAAAAATGGTGAGAATGCCGGAACAGAACTGAGAGCATTATTTATGATAACTCGTGTACAAAGTGTGCATTAATCAGCGTGTAAAGATTCTCTTTTCGGGAATGTTATTCTCATGTGACAATGCACTGACAGAAAAACTATGTTTTATAAAGTACTTTAACAATCCTTGAATTTTTAATGCAATACTAGCACATTTAAAACAAATTGTGCTAAAATACACACACGCGTTTGTACATGTGATTTTAAATATGTTAACGTGAGGAAAAGGCTTTGTTGATCACATCCAAACTTAACATGTCAACACGGCTGTATTCCAAGAACTACGTTACATGTTAAAAAATATTTCCTGCATTCAAATATGGAATAAAATGTAAAAATTCTTCGCTTTTAAAATACACATACGTTTCCACGCGGGAAATATTCGCCTCGTAATTCTGACGCAGTACCACCACCACCAGACGAAACGAAATGAAATGCAATAATTAAAAATTCATTTCGGATAAATAAATAACCGGTGCGAGGGGGACCCTGCACAAGTGACAGGCAAATTGTTGTGCCGGAGATGTCTCACGAGGGCAGGGGGGGCCCCTCGCCACCCCGTCCCGATGTCACCGCAGCACAACCCCCCCGGACGACACGGCACAGCCGAGCGGCGGCGAGTCGAAGATCCCCTCCGTTTCAATGCGGCAACTGTTCACGCACAAAAATCCCCCGTGTAGCCTTAACAAGGGGGCCGTTGGGGCAAGTGCTGCTAGCAAGCACCTATGAAGGCCGGAACGGCACACGAGGGAGTGTGGGTGGCCAGCACCACGCCCGGCCGCCTTTGTCTCCCCAATGGCGATGTTTACACACCGCACCAGGTACTCATTTGAGCCAGAGTCGACCTAGGGGAGGTCCATGACCGGTTCAGATAACCGTCACCTGTGTTGGCTGTCAGCGGGGATCGAACCTGGGTCCGCTAGGTTCGTAGCGCAGCAACCGCTCCCCACGTTCACACACACACACACACACGCGTGCGCAGCGTCCACCAAACCTAAGGGCGTTTGCATGGACCTGGCGGTGGTCACAAAAACATGTCGTCGTCCCCCCCCCCCCCAGAAAAAAAAAACGGCACCGCTTCCCACAACGCATGCAACAGTTCGGACGATTGTTTAAGTCGGATGATGATGATGTTGATGTCACACGATGGATGGTTTTGCTGGGATGGACCGGCGATCGGCCGTACAACCCCCCGCGGGTGGGGAGGCCGCAGTACGGACACTCCTCTCTCCGGCTTTGCCCTCGCACGAGCGAAAAGGAACGTTTTGTGAGTGGCCAGCGGCCACTCGGACGCGTCTCCCCGGGCTCAAGACTCGGCCTCGACTCGAATGGCGCAATGTTCTTTTTTAAAGTCTTCCCCCGGACACTTTTACTGGCCCCAATCGTCTGAGGCACATGGGTGGAGCCCTGTTTGCTTAAATGAAAAAGAATTTAAGAAGAAAAAAAAATGACATAAGGAGTACAAAAAAAATCCTACGTTTTTTGGGGAATTTTGCCGATGTTAGAACAAAACGGTATCATACTCCTGTATTTTTGTTGTTTCTGTTCTGATGTAACAGAAAAAATGAAGATGACTACATGAAAAAAATAATTGTATGACGAATTTGCTAAATTGTGTGAAAAATAGCGGTGGATTGCATTCATAAAATACGGGTATTATTTGTACCCAAGCAAACCGAATGTTTATCTTTTCATGCTTTCATCTGCAGTGTTGACAGCACAAAAGGACAATGATATAGTTTTAAGTAAATACTTTCCTAATTACACCATTATAATTTAATGCAATTTTAAACACAACCTGTTCCAACTGATCAAAGCAGCAAAATTAACATTTGTTTTGAATTAAACACCTTGAATTTAACATTCAATAATTTCTTGCCTGCATAGTTGTATTTGACAGCATTTCCACGCACATTTAGATAGATTACATCAGGTGCATGCCGTGAATTTATAGACAACTCCACAGACGCAAAAAAAGGCATACGTGCTGCTGCACAAGCACTCTCAACGTAAGAGCAAACGCGAAACAAACTTACAGATTACTCACCAAAATGTCCATAAAATTACGTCCGTAAAGGATATCCATTTACACGTAACAAAAGTGAACACTGGCAATTAAGAGCGCGGTATTTTGGTTCGGCAGAGGTTTTTCCGCCACCCCCCCCCCCCCCCGACAATAAAGTTGTTGGCTGGAGGCGCGCACGTGAACGAGACAGACAAGCTTTACAAACAGCTGCTCGCCGTCCGAGTGAGGCGGCGTCCGAGTCGCCAACTTTGGAGGGCCTTTGCTGCGCCGGGGAAATTAGCCATGTCAAAGCGTTAATGAATATTAATCTTGTATTTGTGGCGGCCGTGAGTGATCTGCGCGGGGCTGCCCGTCCATCAGGGATGCGACGTGGCAGACAATTATTTCTGAGTGACAGGCGGTGGAGCATGCCGGCATGGGGAGGAGGAGGCGGCGCTGACAGGGCGGCGAGACCGGCGGGCCAAGATGCACACCCCCCCCCACCACCGCGGCCACCCCCCTCCACCCTCCAATTTTTCGCCCGCCGGGGAGCACGCAGCCCACATGAACACACTTCTAATGAAGCCACCGGCATTAAATATGAAACAGGGAAAACGTTGGATACATTAATCAAACCCAAGACAACGCCCACAGCCGACATCCGCTTATTCTGATAAAAACTCACGGGGTCGGGGGTCAGCTGCCGTGGAGATTGTATAAATCTTCTCTCGTAAAAGGGATCAATCTTTGTTTCCAACTCGGCATAATGAGCTGCATGACAATGACAGGAAGATGAAGCTTTTTTTAATGAGTGCATTTTCTTTCTCTCAAACACTTGTCCTTGGGGTTTGTGGCATTGTTGTTTTTTTAACTTTCTTACATGACCCTACAGAACCGCGATCACTTGTCCACTCTTAAGAGCTCATGGGAAAAAAAAACGCACCTGGTGACTCCATCTGACCCTACGACACTGCTTCTATAATAAAGCAAAAAGAGAGAGAAAGATCAAGATGAACTGAAACGATCTCAGAGAGCTTGATATATATTTAAAAAGGTTTTTGTACTATGGCCACCTTGATAATGTGGACATCGTTTCATACCTTAAACTATATTTTTTAACGATATTTTAGTCAGAATTTGTATTGCCTACGTGCCACCCCCCCCACGGCCGTATCCAAAATGGACAGCGACGATATTGAGGAAGAAATATCATTAACCGCCAACAACTGTGGCAATGATGGCTCAAGAAAAGAGAACCGTCGTGGAAATTTGTTTGGGCTCCGTCGCAGCTAATGAGCCGGTGGGAAAGGACACCCGGATGACCACGGCCGATAAAAAAAAATTGACGAAAAGAGAAGAAATGCAAGCGCGGGGGAATTCGGATAAATTCCGGGACAGTGCCGGCATTCCGTCAACTGGACCCCCCCCCCCTACACATGAGAGTTGTCAGAAAACCAAACTGGCTCATTTGCTTCGTAACGATCAGGGGAGAATTCCGATTGCGTAGGTGTAGTTTGTTTCAGAACGAACAGACCCATACACGGCTCCGCCTGCGCATGGCTAAACACCAGATATTTTACACCGCTATATTGGTTACCAAGAGCAATTTAGTTGCAATGAAAAATAATGCTTACATTAAAAAAAACCCACCAGCGAAAATCAAAATCGCATTAACAAAGCGAAACCCGCTCAGAACTAAATTTAGTCGCAATGCGCGAACCGGTGTCGCAGCCACTGAGCTTGTGGAGCATCGCGATTGGTCGAAACCGGCACGGGGCTCTTCATGACCAATCACATGCAGACCAAACAACGGAGCACCGAAATTATGCAGCCACCCATGCCTCTTTAAAGGACAACGGGCTGCATTGCTCAACAACCAGGACAATTATTGCACCAGACGCCACGATCAAAATAAACATCGGTCACCTCGGAAACAACCCAAGCGCATTCCTAAACACGGCAGAGTAATGCTTTATACGTAATAATAATGTGCGCCTCAATAAAGGCAAAGCATTTTTTTTTATTTGCCACCTAACTGAACCGGGACTCAATATGGTTTTCACAATAAAAGATGTTGCCTCACTGGAGGCGCTGCCATTCTATACGCTGGTACATTTAATGGTTGTGTACGCATGCAGACATTGTCATACACCATGAGTGTGAAATTTTAAACCTGAGAAGTTCAGTGCTGCCACTATTAAATGCCCCGCATTGTACAAAATGAGAGGTGAGGTTTACAACACTGGCAGAATGGATTTTTTGCGCTTTTTAGACGTTTTTTAACAAAAAATATAATTCTTATAATATTGTGTACCAGGTACCGAAATGAGCCAATCAGAGCACTGACATTAATGAGTGAAGCGTGTAATCATAAAATATAGAAACTATGCCAAAACATCACGGCCGTGCGTCTTATAGAAAAACATCCAAGTATCGTGCCCCCGCCTTCTCACAGCCTTGACGCTGGCCAAACATCACTTCATGAGCTTCGATGGCGGTGCAGAAGATGGACTCGACAATAATGATGATCTCCAGAGCAACGTCAGCATGACATTCGGAGTGAATAAAAATTATCGGTACGATTATTCCCATGACAATCTAAGTCACCATGATCACAAACATTAGAATTCTTGTTACGGTGGTAACGATGATGATGATGATGACGACGTTGGCATACAGCGTATGCCCTCATCAAAACAAGCGGTGCGAATTGGACAGTCTGGTGTATTAAGCATTCAATTAAATAAATTCAGTAAATGCAGTGATACCAAATACGATGGTTCACATTGCTCGAAATGCTGTGCTCAACATAAAAAAAAAACATCTCAAGTATGAGGTTCAACCACTGGTCTCCCAGTGGTTGAGCTTTGACCCTCATGTGGCAAAGCGCATAGGCGAATGAGGGTCCAAGGGCTTTCGTATAAACACGAAGCAGCAGAGTGGAGCATGAATATGCCATGCTCGTGAATGGGTTAACCTGTCCACAACTGCCTCATGTGCCCTCCTGACAATTACTAAATACGTCTATACATTTAAATTCTCTGGGGAAAAAAACTAAACTCAAATTTGAAATGTCCACGTAAAACTTCCAAAATATAAATCGTGGGATTATTGAGAGGGTAAAAGCCTCACGTTCAATTCCAAGGAAAGCCTTATCAAGGTATACAAGTCACGATTAAACTTATCAGGTAAATGCGAGAAAAAAAAAAAACCTCTGAGTTTTACTAAAAACAATCAAGCAAAAACATCTGGGCAGGTTCGACCTTGTGCACAAATCAGATTGATCATGTTTTTGTTGTGACATTTTGGGATTCCCCCCCCCCCCCCCTCTCAATGCCCAGGAGCTGCCTTTCACAATGCCCAGAAAAAAAGAAAGTAACCAACTCTGAACGACCAGGCGCTAGCGAGTCACACTGGAAAATAGCCATGTGGTTTGCGTGAGCAAGCCGAGCACTGCTGGTATCGTCAATACGCATCTCCCACAGCCAACATCGGGCAACATCAGCCGTCCCAGGTTTGCGGACGCGGGAGGAGCACGTGCCAGGTTGACCTGAAATGTTCCACAACCACGGTAAGTAATTTACCAACAAGGCACTATTTAGCACTTCAAGTTATTATTATGATGCTTAGAGGTAATGGCAAGCAAACTCATTGTGCAACTGGGCCCCCCCCCCCCCTCCCCCAAGAAATATAC